TTGACATCCAGCTGACGTGTGTTGAAGAGAAACTTGGCCTTGCACGTGTTCCACAGAATGTATTCTGTGGTGGATCTCAGTAAAATGGGAGCTGATGCTCCCTTTGTTTCTGTTGCACTAGCTTGAGCTCCTGAAATCCCCTGGTTATCTGCACCAGATTTATTATCTAATAGGAGGGTCACCTAGCAAAAAAAGTGTGTAATTTCTGCTGGATTAGTATTGGATCAGCTAATCCAGGGATCAGAGGGGTGCCAGTGTCAGTGTAAAGGAAAATGGAGATGAGGCAGATGAGGACCACTTTTGACAGGGTAAACTTCTTAGGTAGCTTCATTCAGATTTGATTTATGTTTCAGTTTGCACACTCTAACGAACACAGAGAGATGACACTTTCTGAAGTGATGAACCAGAACTTGCTTGTCACCTGTGCAAACAGTACATGTGCAAACTCTGAAACTTTCTAGAAATCTTTAAACTGACATCAAGAAACTACAGACCTCAAGAAAATAAACTTTTACTGATCGAAGTCCAGTGAACACAACTTTTGAGTAAGTGGGAAAAGTGTTTCTGGACTCTTATTCTTCAATTGTGACTTGATTTCTGACAGACTTTCTAATAGTAAGGACATTATTAAACAGTGTGTCTGTTAACAGATTTGAGAGTGATAGTACAGAAACTGTTAATCTATGTGAGAAGAATAAGCTGTTGTAATAGACAAGAGAAGTGTAATGCGTTTACTAGAGCAGGTTTTACTGCACTTTTCTCTGTAACAGGATCTTTGGCTATGTGATCTGACATTTTTGGACTGTATTCAGGCAACAAATTCTTGTACTAAATGTAAACTTTTTTTTACCTTCTGTGCCGTTGCTATAAAAGAGTGAGATTTTGTTCCTAATCTTATTTTATGATAAACACTGTGCAATTGAGCTCTTGGATTTCTTGCTCTTGTTTGCTCTGGGTGCTCTAAGTCTTGGTTTTGGTATCAAATCTTTTTGATCCCTACCAAAATATGCTCTGAAATTCTTGTTTAGATGATGTGTTGCCTAGTTCTCGGTACAAAGTGAATATAATTGTGTGATTTCTCCTGCTTTCTTTTACATCCTTGTCTATCACTGTTATCACAAAAGAAACAGTAAAACTTCACAAAATAAAAAGTGGATATGGATAAACCAGTAAAGCTGTTTTCCTCTGGCCACTTTCACTTGTCCTTCAGATTTGATTTATTTCTGGTACCATTACTCAACTTAGGCTGTGTTTATATGTCTGTTGTATAATTTCCATCTCATTAGGTATCTGTGCTGGTTTTTAGTAGCTTTAACACTCTGTGAATTTGCCAAGGGAGTAGGATTAAAACTGGAATTTGGCATTTCTATGGAATTAGGAGTCCAGAGCCATTGGAGCATAAGTATCCAGAATTACAGATGCTATCCACGATTTCTTATTTGTGTGAACGACTGATTGTATGCCTTGCTGCATGTGTGCAACAGAAAAATGACAGCTGATGATTGCAACAACTTTGCTTGTTACAAAGAAATGAGGGCTTTTGTTTAAAGATACTCTAAAATACCCTTCACAGAATTATTTAGTCAAAATTTGCAACACTTATAAAAGAAATAGAGTAAATTAGGTGACATAAAAGGAAACATTAGCTGAGTGAAAATCCTTTTGGCCCATGGTCTGGATACTACAAAGTCAAAAGTTATTCTTGAAAGCACTTGATTCCGGATGTACCATTCCTCCTTAAAAATGGAGTATCAGAGTTTTCTTCTGGGCTCTCATTTCTTGCATGGTCTTAAGCAAGTGGTATTATTTACCCAATATGTTTTTCGGTTTAAAGTGTGATTCTGTGGGCAGGACTTAGAAATAGTTGAAAACAGCAACTATAAGAAGCATATGCTTGCTTACGTTGTTGCGGTCTGGAATTATTGTTGAATTTCTGACAGGATCAGCCAAAGAGGAGAGAATGTGGGAATCCTAAGATATGAAGGAACGTGTCACAGAAGAAATTTTACGATATGCCTTCTGAGCAGAAGAGTGGTATTCTTTCCTTTCAGTCACTGTCTGAAGAACTGAAGGTCAATAGACTCCTTCAGTTTTCCAAAGGAAAGCTGGTACTGGTGTTGCCCTGCACTATAGATTTCTGGCTTTCCAGAAGCACAATTTACTGTTCTTTCTAATGAGACGTTACGGGAAGGAGTCGAGAGAGGACAGACATTCCAGAATGGACCTTATTTTGTCTCCTTAGTGTGGAAAGGACTAAGAAGCTGAGCTTTAGTTTTTTTCCTTGAATGCTAATTTTGCAGTTTAATGGCAGGAAGGAGATAGTAAAATCAATTCCATTTTCTGGCAGTCATCTGGACTGTGTATATGATATGAATTCCTTTTATCACTAGAAGAAGCTCAGTAATGATTTGTTTGTAGGCACATTGCCAAAATGCAAAGATTTTGGACTAGTTCATAAATAGCTGTGCTCTTCAAGCTTTACAGTCTGTTCAAATTTAAACCTTCCCATCATTCTAGAAATGGGAGTATGTGCAGAGGGGGAAATGAACATTTTTTGGCTTTGAGTCACTGGGCAGACTGCAATGAATACAGGCTTTGATTCCATAAGGGACCTTTTTTCCCTTCAGTCCACCAAATTTTGTAAACTGAGGATTACTAACTCGTTCACCCCACTTGAGCTGGTTATTGTGTGGTGCTGAGAGAGGGAATTCTAGGGTAGCTAAAAGGCATAGCAGTGCTTTTTTGTCAAATGCATTGGAACTTAAACGCCAGCCTTGCTTGTCCTTAAGGCGTACCCTTGGGAATTGAAGGTTTCTTTGGTTTCTAAGATTGTGCAGACTATCATGAGCATCTTATGCAGACCTCTGTGGCAGGGGACTTGGACTAGTTGATCTTTAAGACTCCCTTCCCACCCAAACCACTCTGCGTTTCTGTGACCTTGAGTTAATTATTTATAATATTGAAAACTGAGAATCCTAACCAGAGAGCACTATTAGTAGAAAAAGCCAGTAAAATTAACAGTGTGGTAAATAATGTGAGTGAATGTTGTTGAGTCAGAATGAAATTGAATTTGTTTTTTATCCCTATGCCTAACAGGGATTGTGCCTATTTTAGAAGGATATTAAACCTATTTGCATCTTGGTGTTGCCTGATGCCTTTCTCAATAGAACTAATGGGATAATCTAAGCAGAGCGAGTGCATTTAATGCTGTCTTAAACTGCTGTAGAATCTGGTTAGAGCTGATCAATATTTATATCAGTCATTGCTATAAAATACGAAATATTGCTCAGAGAGGATGTTCACTGGCATGATAAATAAGGTGAGTAGGCAGTACGAGGGACGTGGTTTGTCTACGAAGATTTGTTTAGTCAATTAAGTTTTCCTAGTGTGGACAAATGTAAGGTCATATGTAAAAGGCAAGGGATATATACTGTGTATTACCAGAAATTGCATTCTGGATAAGCAGAAATGGGTCAAGAACTATTTGATGGTAGGACCTCTTTGAAAGATGGAGCTTCAGTGGCTACTGCAAGCCTTGGGCACAAAAGCAGGTATTAGCATGTCATTTCTCTCTCAGAAAAACGAAAAATATTGAGGACTCTACATAGCTCACTGTAAGCAGGAAGAAGTCTCCTTTTATTTATTAAAAACCTAAAATTTTAAGCAGCTTATTCAGTTAACTTGTTGACGGAAGTAGTTAATAAGGCTTTACTCTAAGGAGAGAGCTGTAAAGTGGGACAAATGCACAGCCACATCTGAACTCTGACTCAGAGTTCGGGGCATTAACCTGGACATTACTGCTACTAATTTGTAGGTAAGGTATGAGAGGTTATGTACCACATTCTCAATCACTTTGGATGGCATTATTTATACAGAATCTTGAGTTTAAAGTTGTTAACCTCGATAGGAGGGAAAAGGAGTGTTTTGGGAAATATGGAGGAGGCCAGTCTTCCTACGGATTGTGGAGCTTTCTGGGTCATGAGGTGAGTGGCAGCTCTCTGCATTAAGTCTGAAGGGTACAAAAAGCTCATTCTCTTTTTTCCAGCTTTCTCAAATTTGTTTACCTTGGAAGCTGAAGTGTTGAATGGAGTCTCTGATGGGCCATGAGCATCATAGTAAGCAAACAGGAATGTAGGACTTCTGTGGCCCCCCTGCTTTTTTCCTAAATGGGAAGCCAGAGTGTATCATAATATGTAGATGATGTGATAAGTCACCATAGGGTAGGAAACTACCAAACCTCATTTCTGTAAATTTGTTAGTGATCTGTACCAGCTTGATGTCCCATCTCAGCGGATTCTTTTAGCTTTCCTTTTCATAATTCTTTGTGGTATACCTTGGGGATATGGGTGTTTATCTGAATTTCTCTTAAAACTCTGATGTCTGTTACTGCTTTTCTCTGTTAACTTGCCTTTGTCTAACTGGCAGAAGCTTTATGCTAGTTTCTGAAATACCTTGAAAATCAAACAAATGAGTGAATGTTTGTTACTGGATTATGAGCTGAATAGAAGTGTCACATAACAGAATATCTTCAGATTTGGACTGAAAGTTGAGGTGAAACACTTATAACAAGGTAAATGGATTCCTCTCCTCGACTTACCTTTTATTACCCTAAAATGCCAGATATGTTATAGAGGCATTAACACCGACATAGTGTTATTGAAACATAAAATGGGGAGTAATCCTTCCCTAGAGGTGGGTAGGCTGCAAGCCTCAGACTCCATATCTGGGCTTTAATGAAGCGTAACTTGCAGAAGAACACTGCTTGCTTCCAAACCTGGTGAGAACACATGCAGAATGGATTAGACATGTGAGTCGTTCTCAGATACCTCAGAATGTAATAATTTTTTTGCTTGTTCTTTTGAATTCCCCTCTTCAGTGCTGTACAAGGAAAGACTTCTTTATTTGCCAAGACCTCAAGTCATAGTTTTGTATGGAAAACATTACTTTTCTCTGTTCATCTTTCTACAAAACATTTTCTGGTTTTTTTCCCCCCCCCCCAGTGTTCTGAGGATTGCAAACACAATGATGAGTCACCTCAAGAAGACGAAGGGTTTATGGGTATGTCACCTCTTCTACAAGCCCACCATGCTATGGAGAGAATGGAAGAATTTGTGTGTAAGGTAAGGGCATGTGGAAACTGCTGAAGTGGTTTCCTTTTTTAGGAAGCTCCATGGGCAGCAGGCTATACTTGCAGCATCTGTGCTGCTGATGTAAGGAAGAGGAGGAGGTACACATGGTCCCTGAATGAGCATCTCATGTTCTAACTAGCGATACTACAGTGCCTCAGGATCTCAGTGTGTCATACATGATTAAATTGTAAAGCATGGAACAATAGGGATTACAAATGAGACTCTAAAGCTGATCATGTGACTCAGGTGCATCTCTTGAGAAACACCTGTGAGTGCAAAGCAGAATAAAAGCCTTCTGGTTCAAGGCACTTTAATTTACAAGGTCATTTTGTCCAGATTTCGTCAGACTTGCAAATATTTTGCTTTTCCAGCAGTATTTGCATCCATTGTAGGATAAGCTTTGTCCCTGACTTAAAAACAATGCTGTATTAAAGCCATATCTAAGTAAATCCATTATAGGTTTTGTAATTGTTGACCTTGGCTCAGTTTTTGCACTTTTGAGAGCCATGGGGCTGTATCAGTCTCTGGCCGTCCTTCCTTGCTGAAAGGAATGCTGCCTCTTCATACACCAGTTCCTGCTGTTTTTATGAACTGTTTTTGATGTTTTTACAGAGGGACTGTAGTTACTTGGTGGTCTTTTGTGTGGGGGTTTTGTTGTTGTTTTGTTTGGGGCTTTTTTAACTATGCATCTTTTCCTCTTTTAAAATGTTTTGCAGAATGGATTGTGTAAAATGAATTCCCTCCTTCTGTTTCTACCTCAATTCACATTTTTGGTTCATGAAGTAAAGCAGTCATTTTCTTGTTTAATGTATTTAAGAACCCAGTCTTTAACTGGGCTGGTTATTCTGAATGGCTCTGTTTCGCTTCCATGCATGAGTGTGGAGAATTGATTTTAAAACTCTGGGCTCTTGTTGTTGAAACTGAAATAAGAATGTAGCCTTTTAAACTCAGTGTTTCAGGAACCTTCAGCCCTGCTCCTGTAATTCTAGCCAGACGGCAAATCCAAGGAACACTGCAGAAACAACCCCGGTACATAAAGCAGTTCCCTGATCCCCCTCTGCTTGGCAGTGCTCTTCTGACGCCCAGCTGAAGACTCCGTGTGTCTTGTGTTACCAAAGCAGTGCTAAGGACATCTGTGCACACTTATTTCATGGGGAACCAGCTGCAGGAATAGCTGTGTGCACATGCACTCCCTTCCCTGTTTAAAGAAGAAATCTGATGGAATTGAGTCACCAATCTGTTGCCTTAACCGATCTGTTACCATTTCTTTTGTGAGCATGGGAGCATTTTTTCCCCAACCTGAATAAGTTGTTGGATACTTGCTGCTGGGCTCTTGCCCCTTCATACTTTCTGGCCCCTGTTAGTGCTGATAATGGGTAGCTTTTCTTGCTGGACTGCCCCAAATGCTAGCAGATATATAGTCAGGTTGGCTTGTGGTGGAGGAACGGGCTTATTTATTTCTTTGAAAGGACTAGGTGTAGGCTTCTTCACTTAAATGGAAAAGATGACCTGTAAAATAACAAATTAAATTAATTACTTTCCCTTCATTAACAGTAAGAAAAGCCCAATAGCCTTCCTGTTCAATGAAATACTAAAGCATTTCTTTCTCTAGTAGTGCAGGTCAGCTTCATAATGATAGTTTTGGATAGGGAACAGTGACTAAACCATTATATTTCAACTGTAAAGCCTTTTCCCCAAGAGATATCCCATCAACTCTTTTCTCTTTACTGTACTCATAGAGTAACACTCTTACTAATATGGGTTTTCTTTGGCCATGCATTGCTGGCACTTGATTTGCTCCATTTAACTAAAATCTTTTAACTTCTAGGTGTGGGAGGGCCGATGGAGAGTCATTCCCCACGATGTTCTGCCTGACTGGCTGAAGGACAACGACTACCTGTTGCATGGACACAGACCACCCATGCCTTCCTTCCGGGCTTGTTTCAAGAGTATCTTCAGAATACATACAGAGACTGGTAACATCTGGACGCATCTTCTAGGTATTGTCAGCTTGCTCTAATTTAATGCCAATTGGTTTCATTGCTCTCAAAGAAAGAGGGCAAGATAGAAAGGGGTGTGACGTTGATCAGCGTTATTGTTCCACTAGTAACCTGTTAAATTAACAGGTTGGTATCCCTCTCCTAATTTTATTCCACCAGAGTTGGATAGGACTTCCTTAATCATATAATACAAACAAATGCATTAAAAATTGCCTAATTGTTGATAAATTACTGGTACGTACTTTTTTCCCAAGTGTGTAGGTGTTAACTGAGATCACATTTCTTACCACAAGAACATACTTATGTTGCAGCTTCTGGGACCGGTTTCAGCTTGTGAGAAGCCTTGAAGGGGAAGGGTTTCTTTCAACTTTGCCCTTCTCTTTCTACATTTTGCAACAGATATTTTGTTGTTACAGTTGTCTGGGCATCTTGCTAAACAAGTGAAAATACAGGGTCTGTCCAAGTCTGAGACAGAGCTGTGGTTGGAATGTGTAACTGAAGTAGGGCAGCACTCAACTCTGCATGTGCTGCTGGCTGTCAGGCAACTCCTGTGTTTAGTGGTCTTACACATTACAGTCATGCTTTTAAAGAACAGCTTTCTGTACGCATGAACTTGACACCTCTCTACCTTGCTGTTTTTCAGGATGTGTGTTCTTCCTCTGTCTGGGAATCTTCTACATGTTCCGGCCAAACATGTCCTTTGTAGCACCTGTGCAGGAGAAGGTGGTCGTTGGATTGTTCTTCTTGGGAGCCATACTCTGCCTCTCCTTCTCATGGCTCTTCCACACAGTTTATTGCCACTCAGAAGGTGTTTCCCGGCTCTTCTCCAAGTAAGTGCCTGAGGAACAGGGTAGGCCAAATAGGAAACAGGTGGGAAAACAGGGCTGGGATTTGTGCCTGGAGCCCCAGTGTGGGAGTTGCTCATTTCATGACTGCATGTACTTTGGAACAGAGTTGAGCAGAGATTTAATGCAGCTTCTTCTAATTATAGTTTGTTTCAGCATGAGTTTTTGTGCTGTCATTTTAGTCTTAAAACTCCATCATTTTCTGCTGTTTGGCAGGCATGTGCTTGCATCTTGCTGCTGTAAGTAATATACCTTGAGCTTAGTTGCTGGACTTTGAATTTTTAATGTAACTGTCACTTCTTATCATTTCAACTATTCTGACTAACTTTAAATCTTAAACTTACGTAAGACAGTTCCACAGTGTGTATCAAGATGTCTTGACCTTTTGGTTTTACTTCACGTTCTTTTTTTGGCTGGCTGCTTAAATATCTTGTATTTCTTAAGATTACTCAAGCTAGACTCTGTAATCTGCAAGACCACCTTTAAAGTAACCCAGCTATTAAAGTCCCCTACTGAAAAATTAACTCCACCAACTTCTGTAGGAGTGTTTTGTCAGGATGGGGTAAAAAACAGTGGCTGTGGATTTCCTTTTTCACACTGGTGTGTAGAAAAACAGCGTGGTTGAAAAATTGCAGTGCTTTTCCTCTGTACTCACTTAAGCTGGTGCATAACTACCTGATGCTTGTCAGATACTGAAGTGTTTGCACTGGCTGTGCTCTCACAACATACTGTGTGCCCCGTGTTTAGGGGGCTCTTGTGATGCTTTTTACCTCACCTAAAACTCAAATTTGAGTTTACCTCAAAAGGTTTTGGTCTAAAGGTTGCTGAAGGTTTTGCTGATGACTGTCCAAAAATGGCCTGCCAAGGGAGTCCATTACTACAGGAGGGCATTGGTGGAAGAGTTGCCATCAGGAATTAAGCTGCAATAGCAAGAGTAATTTAGTTTTGCAGTGAGAAGTAGACAATTGGTCTACTAAAGAAGGGCGTGTGGGTGAGAGGACTTCGAAACGTTTGCATTTCTTACGAAACTGATTTTTGTTTCCTTCTAGGCTGGATTATTCTGGCATTGCACTTCTCATAATGGGCAGCTTTGTACCATGGCTGTACTACTCCTTCTACTGCAACCCTCAGCCTTGCTTCATCTACTTGATTGTGATTTGTGTCCTGGGCATCGCAGCCATAATCGTCTCACAATGGGACATGTTTGCCACCCCTCAATACCGGGGTGTAAGGGCAGGTAAGACTTCAAGTTAACTGCCTTTCCTCCTTCCTATTTGCCACTTGGAGAAACCATCTTGGGAAGACTTAAGAGAGCTTAATTTTATAGAGACCTAATATTCTTGGATTGGGAGCTTGATGGGTTTGCTTTCAGCATATATTTTATAGCCAACTGGATGCACAGACAAAGGCTAGTGCCAGTCCTGGAAGTGCATTCCTGAAATGGACAGTAGCACATGCAGTAGGAAAGGCAGTGCAAAGTATTTCTAGCTGTATCCAGCAACTTTGCTCCCAAAAAACGACTGACTGCTTGGTGTGTGTATGTGTACTTCTACTGTTTGTCTTGTTTTGGTAGCACTAGGCTCAGACACTAGCAAATCATTGGATGACTGAACTAATGTGAATGATTTGCATGGATAAAATACACAGTTAAGACAAAAACTATTTTTTCTCTTTATCAAAAGAACAAAACCAGATTTGGTTTCACATTTCGAGGTAGGAAAAAAGAGAAAGCTTAGGGGGCAACTGTGGAATGTGCTGGGTTGAATAGTAATATTTCTTGTTTCTTAACCTGCACATGCTGTCTACAGTAAATCTAGATTTCCTGGACAAGTTATGGGTGTACCTTCAGAGAGATCAGCTTTCCAAACTTAAAATCTCTGCATGGGTCATGAATATCCCCCCCACGCCCTCTTTTTTTACAAGTTTTCTGTACTTGCTGCTAAAATCTAAAGAAATAAACCATGTTTCTCTTACATGGCAGATCAAATGAGCGCAGTTGCCCCTTTTCTGTTTCCTAGGACTGCTTGTGCAGTGTATGATAAACAACCTCTTTGTTGTTTCTCCTTGTCTTGCTCTTGAGCGATGATGGTGAAGTGAGGCACAGTCTGCGTGGTCTCAGTTCCCTCTACAGGCCAAGAGCAGTAACTGGCCTCACGTACACTGAAGCTGGCAGGAGCAATCAGTAAATGAAATATTTTGGCTATCTGCTGGAACATATAGCTGAGTACCTTCTGGTATATGAAGGAAGCCTGTGCATTCTTCAGCTTCCTTTCCAATAAATCTCTTCTGGGCACCTCCAGCTTCAAGAGCTGTCACCTTTCTGGTGCTTTGGCAAATACTGAGTTTTTCTTCTGTAGCTTTTGTGTTTTCATTGTGTCCCTTTACCGCCACTGTGCTCAAACCTGACTCTCCCGCATTTTCTTTACCTCCCAGGAGTATTTCTAGGTCTGGGTCTTAGTGGGGTAATTCCCACTCTGCACTTTGTCATCTCTGAGGGGCTCCTGAAAGCAGCCACAATGGGGCAGATAGGCTGGCTGGCACTCATGGCATGCCTGTACATCACTGGTGCTGCACTATATGCTGCCCGCATCCCGGAGAGATTCTTCCCTGGCAAGTGTGACATCTGGGTGAGTCTACAGCATGGCTGGATGAGGAGACCAATGTGAAAGCTGGTTCCCCTTGAGGCTGAAGGATGTTGTGTCAGTGTTTTCTTATTGCAAGTATCAAACTGCTGCACCAGAAGCAATAGGTCTTCAGGGGCCAAATAACTGTGGGCTGTCCGAGCCTGGCTTTCCTGGTGCCTCTCTTCCTGAGTTGTCACAATCTGACTGGTCTGAGGTAACTGCTGGTGTGCAAATCCACCCCAGCACAGGTACTAGGCAGCTTTAACAGATGGCCAAGCAACTCTGTGAACTTATGTGTGTGTGTGTGTGTGTGTGTGTGTTGAGAATCCTACAAACACACATCTTTATCTTGCTTCTGTGCAGAATAGTACATGGTTATTTTGCTGATGTTCAGTGTGTTCTCTGGGATCTTCACCAGGTCTGGCTCCTCATCTTGTGCAGCCAGTGAAAATGCTGGATAGAGATGGTGGACTTAGAAGGGATCTCTGGCCTAGGAGAAGGGAAAGTGGGGTGAGCAAGTGGGTGGGTGGGGGAGACTTGATATGAGGGAAAGTATAATGAATACTGGAGGACAAATACGTGGGGAAATGTAAAGAAAGAAATTAGGTGAAGCAAGAGTAGAGATGAGGGGGGGAGGTGGACATTTAGAAGGCCACTGTACTTCCACTAGCATAGTTAAGGCCCCTAGGGGCTAGAAGTGAGAATAAGGCTTGAGTTGTTTGAGCAGCTTTTGCACAACACCAGTTTCCTTGGTTTGTTTAAATGGCCAAAGAAAGCATTGCTGCTATGATGAGCTAGGCTCCAAAAGCACTGGTGTACCACCAACTCTTTTCTAAGCTTTCCATGAATCCTGCAAACACACGTTTGTAGAAATGTTTCAAAAGCATCATCCATATTGGTACGACTTCCCTCAAACAAGGGCGTGCTTTGTCATGTAGCTCCCTCATGGTTTTCATTCTGCTGTACTGTAATCAGTGACATCCTGGGCATTCATTCAGAACACTTAGTTGTTCTAGGTTTTACTATAATACCATTTTTTTTCTGTTCTGTTTTGCTGTGGTAGAGAAGTAAAATAACAGCATTGAAAATCCATTTGGTAGAACTTATGCTTGTGACCAGAGCAGCGAATGTACCTGTTATCTGTATAGGAGAGACCTTTTTATCAATAAATCAGCAGCGTATCTTGTGAAGGAACTAATTTTAAAAGTGTCCTGCTTAAGGACACTTAAGTGTCCTTTTGCCTAAGGCTCTGAAATCATCCCTGTCCCTTCACAAAGATGAGTTGTAGCACTTACATACTGTATTTGTTTACTGACCAGCTGGTTAAGGTGACTCGGGAGGGAAGGGGGGTATGTTTGTGTGCGTGTGTGGAGAATTCGATTATTTGGCTAATGATAGGAGAGGGATGGGCTTTAACACACAACTTGGAGAACTCTGCAGCTCGTGGTGTGAGGTACTGCTCCCTGTCACTGTGTACTTCAGCAGAGTGTGTGGCTTTTTGGGAGGCAGGGTCGCGCTGGAGCCTGCAGTGCCCCGGCTGAACAGGAGTGTTTTCTCTCCCGCAGTTCCACTCCCATCAGCTGTTCCACGTCTTTGTAGTGGCTGGCGCCTTCGTGCACTTCCACGGAGTTTCGAACCTCCAGGAGTTCCGTTTCACGGTCGGAGGAGGCTGCACAGAGGAAGATGGGATGCAGTAGAACCAGCCTTCAGCCCGAGACCGTAACCAAAACAGCCGCCGGCGCGGTGAAGCATACAGGCTAGCAAAAGGAATACCTAAGAAGAATCCACGTTTCAGCTGATGAGGCATGGAGCTTCATGGGGATTCTGACTAACCAAGATAAAATTCTATACCTCAAGCAATGGAATAAATCAATTTGAAGACCGGGAAATTCTGAAACCCTAATTTATTCTTGGGATCTACAGATTGAGCTACAGAGGACCCTTTCCAAATCGGCTTCTGTTCAATGCCATATTTATTTGTAGAATTGGGGAGGGATAGCTTAGCAGTTTCTGTTTTTTAAAAAAAGAAAAAAAAAAATCAAGGTTAAATTTATATCCTCTTGGAGGGTTCGGGCGTTGATTTTAGATGCTCTTTTGGGAGAAAAACAAATTGTAAATAAGATTTCTAACTTTCTGTTTAAATAAAATTTATATAAATGTTTTAAACAATGGGTGGGGGGAAAAGGGTTTTTGTAAAGAATGCAACATGCAAGTACCACACACTGTTTCAATTTTGCACAAAATAAATGATTGCAGGAGGACCAGGTAAAATTCCCAGGAGTGAAGCACGTTGGCCCTGCAGATTTTCCTGGTGGCCAGCGTGCCCTGGGCAATGTGGGGTCCTGGCCAGCACTTGGAGTAGGCTCAGTACATGTACACAAGGGTTGTGAAGGCTGGATTAGTCATGTTGTCATCCAGGTCACAGTGCGAGCAAAGGTATTTTTACTCCAGTAACTTGAAGGATACACCCCAAGTGTGTGGGACAGCTGCCTTCCAAGCTTGCGTGGCATGTGTAGTTGTGGGTGATGGATCTTACAGTTAGTTGTTTTGGTTCTCATCATATGGATTGGAGCATAATGGGATAACTGCACATGAAATGGCAAACAGTCCAACTCCATCAGTGCCTGCCTAAACCCAAAGGCCCCCATTGAGAAGATGGTTGCCATTTGCTTTGTTTGATCTGAAGAAATGATGGTAATAGGCTTGTCAGAAGATAGTTGAGCATGTGAGGGGAAACAGAGGTGGGGTTAAGATGGACTGGAAAGAGGAAGCTGTGTGCTCCAGGACTTGGAGTTAACAGTTACTGCAGACCTCAAGCACATTACCTTCTCGTGTGTCAGGCTCCATATGCCAAGGGAGTTTGCAGGTTTTTCTTTTTAAGAGGAGTAAATCCACAACCAGCCCAGTGCAGTTCCTTTTTTTTTTTTTTTTTCTCCTTGGTAAGGTCTGCTTCCCATCTGTGCTTTAGCAGTGGGGCTAATGGGACTGCTGGTATTTCTAAACCTAAAACTGAGAGTTCAGCTGGATTGCTGTGGAGCAGACGCACCTCCTATATAAGGGGAGGCCTGTACCCTTCTCTTATGTAATTGATGTAGCTTGATCTTTGGAGCCCAGTCAGAAGCCAGACTGAAGGAGAATCTTTGGAGTCGTAAGATGAAACTTGAACGTTTTGTTTGTTATGGCACAGATATTGCTTGGAGTCTTTAGCTGGAAATTCAGAGCAATTACCTCTCTCACAGATGAGTTAAACAGCTCATAACATGCTATATTTCACAAGAAAGGAAGGTAAGGGGTGGTTGATTACTGTGTGGGGTTTCTTTTGTTGTTGGGGTTTGGGGTTTTTTTAGACTCCTGCAAGTTTCAGTTTTCCTCCTTCAAGAGAAAGATATGGATTGCAAAGATCTTCCCATACCGTGGATGCCACGGAGTGTGTTTTGGGGAGTTGCTTAGTTAGATAGAAGCAGAATGCCTTCCTAAAGTTGACTGGATATTAAGCTTCTCCCCTTGAATGGAGTAAAGCCTCTGAGAGCAAGGTCAGCTGCAAAAAGAGGTGCTGCAGCAGAGCCTGCAAGTTTAGGGGGACAGGTTCTCAGTAGGATCGTGACACTGGATGCCTGTAGGGCTGGAAGTGGTTTGTCACAGGTCTGTGTGGTACTTATATGAAGTAAAGAGCAGTATTAACTTGGATGTAAGGGCTAAATGGCACTGGCATCGTGGACAAAGATGTGGAGTTGCCTGGAGGAAGTGTGTTGGTGTCTGTGAAAAGCGTGGTACATATCAGAATCAGAGCTGTCTGTAAGGTGCTTTGGGATACCTCTGAACAGTACCAGCAGAAGCGACAGTCTCCATCCTGGATCATCCCACGTTCACTCCTTGAAGGGTGATTGTAACCTGGTCCTACACAGCACAGAACTATTACAAAAACACAGTACTCCACCTGCTATTCTTAACCCAGTCAGTCTCTCCGTTCAAGAAGTTTGTGTGTTCCAATAAAAACAACCTAGCTGTGCACTTTTCTGTAGCTTTTGCTGAGAACTCTTCCCAGGTTGGCACCTGAATGCCTTACTCTCAGCAGTCAGAGGCTTGCTTGCTCTGTGTGCAGGTTATTGCCATAGAATAGTTAGGACCTACAGCTTCTTTCCTTCCCCATTAAATAGTGGCCTTGTTCAGTATATTTCTTTTTAAAAATTGCTTACTGTTGGAAGCAATGAAGCACATTCTGGGGTTTTGATGGCTGGGGACTCTGGTGATGGTTCCATATAAGATGGGATCTTATTACTTGCTGTATTCTTAACTTCTGCTAATAAAAGAACCAAATGGATTATTGTCTAGTTTTGGTCTTTCTGTGCTGTGTGTGAAGCTTGAAAGAGTCACTCTTGCTTTCTTCCTTCCCAGTGCATACCAGCCAGGTTTGTAGGTAAGAGACTTCTGTTGGTGCAGAAACCAAACTGATGCCTGAAGACCCATTCCCAGGCGGTTGAGGCTTGCTGTGTGCCTCCTCTGGCAAAAACCAGCAGGTGGGAAGTTTGTGCAGCTGGAACAGTAGTTCTGCCGTGTGGCATCCTCTCGATGTCTGTGATTCACATCAAGTGTGTGCCTGGTCTTGCTCTAAGATTTCGGTGCTGTCTGGTGCAGTTGAACATCGTGGCTGACAGAGCCTGGACTGTGCTGCCTCTTCCTTACAGTGCTGATCTCCAAGGAAATTATTTATTTGGAAGTCCAGACTGTGATGCCCAATGGAGTTACCAGTTGTAGTACGGGGCCAATGGTGGTGTGAGGGAAGGTGTTGGGTGTATCTGGTGCTACCACTGCATGAAGCTGCTTGTCATAAGGATTCCCCTGATGTACATTTATTCCAGACTGGCAGAGAATGATAGACCTGGGACAGTCTGCTCAGTTTTCACCTCTGCCGTATTTTAAAAGTAACGTGAGGAACAAAGTGGGATTGGTGTTACTGCTAAGTTTGGACTTTCATTTTGGAGAGCTCTGCTGAACCCGTGGTGTAGAGTGAGGGCATAAAGCAGCAGTGTGGTCTTGGGGCTGGCTATCCTCAGTCAGGACTCTCCAAGCTTTCAAAGCTGGGCTGGCCATAATTTCAAAAATTACCTTTTTTTTTTTTTTTTTTTTTTTTAAGAAAAATTTTTAGTGAGTGGCTCAGTTTTCCATTTCCTGGTCTTGCAGATTTCAGAGCAGACTGTCCCCTTCCTCATTCCAAGGTTTAAAAGGGCTTACACTTACCACTGTGTCTTGGGTGCCACATGACAACAGGCAGAAAAGGGAAAGGAACAGGCTGGCCAGGTGGAGAATGGGTGAAATGTGTTCAAAAGAGCAGAAACTGTGATTTATGGGCAGCACTGGAAAGCCAAAGGTGAGGAAGCACTGGGAGATGAGCATTTGCAAAGAGAAAAATGAGCGAGAGGGACCAAGGGCGCAAAGAAGAAGAGCTGGGTGGGGAGAAGAGGGTGAGTGCTGGAGACCTTGGTGGTTGTGGGCAAAATTTTAGGTGAGTTGAGATTGAGACATTCAGGAGGCCTGGATTTAAATTCTTAGTGTAAAGGAAATGCCTCCTATCCTGCACCCCTGTAAAGGATTGACCATCTTCTCCTGGTATGCGGGCTTAGGGACTGGCAGGAGTGGGAGGGAGGGGGTTTTGGCTGGGAAGGGCGTGGGGCTGGTGCTGACCAGAACAGCCCTGTGCCAGACTGCCTTCTGCTCTGTCATCGCTGTTCCTCAGCTGTCAGCAAACATCTGGGAACTGCCTGGGCAAGATACGCCTAATCCTCCTCTTGTGTTGGCTCACACCAAGTCTGGGCATCTGCAACTGAGCTGTGGGTTTTGTCAGTTGCTTGACTCAGGATACGTGTTTTGCAGTGACTTTGTAAGAGGGACAGCTCTTGTAAATGACCTCGACAGCTCGAGGTCTCAGGATGGAGTATTATTGTTTTATTTTCTTTTTTTATGAAAAGCAAATTCAAGGAATGGTGGAGAATGTTGGCATCAGATTTCACACAAATGTCACTAAAAGTAGCTTCCACATTTGAATGTGAATTAGGCTTATTCTCTTTTCAGAAAGCAGAGTGATACTTAAAAGTCTTCTGGGCAGGTTAAAATTGTGTGTCCTCCCTCCTCTGCGTGTAGTTGTGGTCATGCTCTGCCCTCTCCCAAGAATCACTTGCTTCATTTGTTGCCAAGTGTCCTGAATACGGATTAAAATGCTGCAATCAAGGTGAGTGTCTAAGGCCATTGTCTAAATTTTTAAGGAGCTGGAAGTAAATGAAACATATGATTAGGATGGAGGAGCTGAGTTCAGTTTGGTTGAAGCTATTTGAGGCTTCCCTGCAAAATTGAGTTCTTTTTCCTTTTTTTTTACCCCTGCCTCCTGTGTGGCATCAAAGCAACTTGTTTGGACTAAACCCTCCTTCTGCTCAGTGCTTTTGTGTCTGTCTGGGTTGCCCAAGCTGAAACTCTCCAGGCTGATTTCCAGGAGTGCTGAGCCGTGATGTGGTTTCAGTGAAGTTTCTTAAAAAGATCAGCTCCTTGGAGAGGACGTGTGTTAATTCCTAGGTGCGTATTGCCCTGGAAGGAGAAATACTGGCCTTGAACTCACGGCAGCATCGAGCGTGTCCCACCTGATCATCTTCAACTATTTTAACGATGAGCAAAGTAGGAAAAATGCTGGAGGAAACTGCCAAACATCATGTGGGCAGTTGCTACAAGTGGATTGCAGTGCAACCAGTTCCTTGTTCACCGCTGCCGGGAAGGTAAGTTCTTTGGGGAGGGATGGTGGGATGCGAGCCTAGCGCCCCGTGTGTGTGCAGGGGGATGGTTTTCCAGCTTGGTCTTATCGTAGGATCACAGAATGGCTTGGGTTGGAAGGGACCTTAAAGACCATCTCATTCCAACCCCCCTGCCATAAGTAAAGGGTACTTTCTACCAGACCAGGCTGCTCAAAGCCCCATCCAGCCTGGGCTTGAACACTTTCAGGGATGGGGCACCCACAACTTCTCTGGGCAACCCGTGCCAGTGTCTCACGAAGCTCATAGTGAAGAAATTTTCTGGTATTTCCAGGAGCTTTACCTTTGCCTTTCTCTAGAAAAATTCATCTTTAAACAACTGAGGTATTACTGTTTCTGAGCTGGGAGATGTTTGCACTGGAGATTCACCATGATTCCGTTTTGTTAGCAGCCTCATCTCTGTAGTGGTACAACAGGGCACGGAGGCACTTCACAGTTGGCGTAAAATCTGAACCAGTCTAGTTGTAAAT